AGGGGGAGGGGGGTCGGCCAATGCTAACTTTTGCGAACGAGGGGGAGGGGGGGAGAGAGAGAGAGAGAGAGAGAGAGAGAGAGTCTAATAGACGCAAAATCATATCAAGTAATTAGTGTTCAAAGTATACGACAGATTAGACAACTACAACAAAATAAGATTTGATTCATATAGAGATATAGAGACAGGTCTGGGATATTAGGAAATGACAAAAGTCATCACTTGCCGCACGAGTTAAGCCATACAATTTGTTTTACATAATTTCAAAACTCTCATCTAATTCGCACACAATTATGGTTATTTAAAATATGCCAAAACCCTAGTTAATTTATTGGAGAAAACTTCCAGGTGACAATGCCAACCCCGTAATCAAATCAATACAAAATATAATGAATAACAAGTGACAGTAAATGCCATTTACATTGTCGTCCTTCGTATAAATTGCAATCTATTTAATGGCTTTTTCTCAGTTATAAAACACAAGTTTTTCAGTGAAAACAGTGTGTTTTTGGCGTTAATAAACGACTGGTAAATGTATATATTGTATGAATGAATAGATAAAATGTTTTTTAATATTTGCCTTTTGATTATCTTATGTGTGCTTATGATTGCCTCCTCTCCCCACAACGAATCAATAGATGTTATATTTTAGATTTCAATACTCAATTAGTGGCTGAAATGATAGCTCTCTTTACTAAACTATAGATAAGGGACAACACATGTGCCGAATAACTCGTTCACATATTTCTATGCCTAATAAACAGAATTTGTATAAAAACCTAACTATAAAATAAACATTCTCTGAGAATAATCCCATTGAAATGCATTTGTTTTTTATGTCCAAATAAAGTCATAGGTCTTTGGATCTAATTCCTTAACACCTTCATAAGTTAAGTTTTAGTTCACATCAACTCATACCGTGTGTACCCAAACACAGCTCCTTAAGCCTCTTATTCATACAATGTATGCAATTATTGATAATAAAGTAAACGGAGGAGGAATGGGAGGGTTCACCGATAATTCAAACTCCTTTCGCTATCTTATCGCACATTTTTGCAGAATATTTCACTTTTAAACACAGAATTACATAATTATTTACTTAAAAATTTTGAATTTATAGCAACAGAAGATATAAAATGATAATAAAGTCTATAGAATTCTTAACGTTAAATTGTTATCAATAATTTTTAATAAAAATTATTTATTTAAATTTCAAAAAGCAATTATCACGTGTAGTGTTCATAAGTCTGATTAAACATATAAAATATAATATATAATTCTTGTGAAATATAATACTTGTACACTATGTGTATACATAAGATTTCGTACATTATTTAACGTGATAAGAGTACTAAAGAAAAGTGCACTGAAAGAAATGCAAAAGTACTTTTGTACTACAGTTACCCTGATTGTTGCACATGGGGTTGGAGTACCGGAACAGTTTAGGTGTAATTTTTGCATACATTTTGTTATATATTTTTGGGGCAATAAAAAACACTTTAAGCCTATTCTCTCGACCCCTTTCCCTACCCTAACTGCACGTGTATATGAGTGTTGAGGCAATGGATTTATGGGCTATAAATTGCTGACAATAACAGAAAAAAACTAAAATAAAATGCCGTAACAAAAGAGGTTTATGTTATCACTCCGTGAGTGTGTCGTAAGAGTTGTGCGAAACTTTTTTTAAACGTAACTTTTTATGGATATGTCTTACGATTTACCTGTTGTTGAGTGAGAGAGGGATTCATTGCATTTATAGCATAAAAATGAGTGCTTTTACTGAGAAAACCGTCGGAAAGGCGACGGGTTTTTTGGTCTACAAAAAAAAACAGGAGTCCGTCAAACAAATAGTTGTAAAAAAGGCTAAACTTTTTTTTGCGGACACTTTTACTCAACACGTATTACAAAACACACAATACATGCCAAACGTGTATAACGTGTGCTATAAAAGAAAAAGGGCTGCGAAGACAGGACAGGGAGGATAAGACGGACCGATACCTCATGTATTATACTGTATATACATATTTCGAGGTTATGAAAAGGTTATGATTTAAATGGGAAACTGTAAGGCCCTAACTGTTAAGGCATAGTATGTAGTCTACGGTGTTTTTGTATGAATATATGCGTGAATAATATGTACACCAAAAAAATTATTGAGCTTTTTATGGGCGACTGAAAAACCCTTTTCATAAACTTCTTGTTTGCAATGTTTGCATAAATAGTATTTCAATGCAAGAGAGAGACTTGTGAAGAGTATCGCAGAAATCGGAGTTTAGGGGGAGTTTTGCAGATAAAAACAGTGGAATATTTAGAGATAACAGTTCTGTATGTGTGGAAACAGAGCACAGAATATATTGATATCAAACCGAAGTATACTTTATTATTATATCAGTATATAATAAGTGCTGTAAAACTCATTTCATTCATTCCTTACTCCGCTCTCGTCTTTAATAGACATAAGATATTCATTTATTTCTTCACTCTCTCCCTGTGTTTTGAGTACAGAATTTCAATCTATAGTATAATTACTATAAGTTCTGTTTTTAGTAAACAATTTTTAAGCAAAGTTTTAACTTCAGAGATAATCTCAATTTCTCTCACTCTATCCGTTGTTTACTCATTCAATTCAAGCCATCGTTTTTGACTCTCAATTAGAGGACTCGTATTCCTAATTGAGAACCTATTGTCGCGATTCCTATTATTAATAAGGATTCGTATATAAAGTCCAATTAAATGATAAAATATTTTGAAGACCAACCCGACTGCCCGGCCCTAAACAGCTACCAACGGCTCACTAAGCCGTTGATCGAGAAGCGCCGGCGGGCGAGGATTAACCTCTGTTTGACGCAACTCAAGGAAATGATCATCGATTCCGGTCGTCATAATATACAGGTATGTGTTATTGTATTGAAATTGTCATCTTACTTATTGTTAACAAAATGCACAGTAATTTTGTAAATTATTTCAATTATAAAACTCATATAAACCTATCAAAAAATTTATACCAAACAATAACAGAACCCGAAGTGTAAGTACGAAAAGGCGGATATACTGGAGCTGACGGTCGAGTACTTGCAAAACATGCATTTCAAGCAACAAATGGACAAAAATGTGTCCAAACAGTCGTTCAACGCCGGGTTCGACGAGTGCCTCAAACAAGTGCAACACTTCATGAAATGTTTGCCCCTTTCGGACAAACTCAACAATAAGACTGCGGACAACACCACCGATCGGACACAGATCTCACAGAAACTGCTCACTCATCTAGACTTCTGTCGATTAGAGCTGACGCACAGCGACGTCGACAACGATATGGACGGCCAGAAGGAGATGACGGTCGACACAGACATCGATATCGACCGGTATTACGACCAGAATATTTCGGCCCCCAATCCCTCCTATAGTGTTATACAACACACCAGGAATTACTCGTCTTCTGTGTCGAGTGCCTCAAGCAGTTCCTCCACAACCGGTACGGTATCGCCGCCGACAACGCCTGAGCCCCAGCGCCGGCCATTGCCCGACACATTGCCCCCCGATTTCATACCCGAGTTTCGCAGTATGAGAGCTAATAGTGTCGGTCTATACGAGAGTGACCGCAACGGCCAGTGCTATGAGTTGGGCGCCGACGGTGTGTGGAGGCCCTGGTGATCCCTCACCTCTATTACCCCGATGTGTGATTGCAGAGTTGATCACATTTGATGTACACATTTGTTTTGCCAAAGATGGATTTAATATGTTTTAATTTAATACCATTTATAAATATATTTACATATACTTTATATAATATGATAAACTATTTTGTTTGTTATAGATTTCATAATAATTTTTGATAATTTTATATATTTTTCTCCAATCTTTTCTTAAACTCTATATATAATTAATTATTTTATTGTTTTTTGATTAATTTTTAAGATAATTTTGTATTATATTTTATTGAAAGACACTTTGTATTTCTATATATTAATTAAGACATGATATGAATAAATATATGAATTTTAAGCATTTTATAAATTTGTATCAATTATTATATTTTAAGTAATAATTTGCTTTTAATAATAATAAATAAGTTTTTGTTTAATAATCTAAGTCTAAAAGCTATAAATACAGTCGCCAAAAGTTGTGATATAATACCTGATATTCTTATCATTCATTACATATTATATTATAATATCTTTGCCCCAACTTTTATGTGTCTATAAATAATTATTTTTTCTCTGATTTCAATGATTTCAATAAACATTTTGACGCAAATAACAGGTATATGTGTTTTAAGCACAATATTACACATTATGAGATACAGTCTAATACTGTTATCGCAAATATTTTTCAGTGTATTAATTGTTGTTTCATTCAAATAGGATTTAAGGTTTAATATAATTACAAAGGATTTGTAAATATATTTCACAATAACTGGTGATTTTGATGTTAACGTCGACTATTCAGTTGATAACATAAACTATTTTGTTTGTTATAGATTTCATAATAATTTTTGATAATTTTATATATTTTTCTCCAATCTTTTCTTAAACTCTATATATAATTAATTATTTTATTGTTTTTTGATTAATTTTTAAGATAATTTTTGTATTATATTTTATTAAAAAACACTTTGTATTTCTATATATTAATTAAGACATGATATGAATAAATATATGAATTTAAGCATTTTATAAATTTGTATCAATTATTATATTTCAAGTAAAGCACTAATAATTTAATTTTAATAATAAATAGGTTTTTGTTTAATGATCTAACTTGTAAGTCTAAAAGCTATAAATACAGTCGCCAAAAGTTGTGATATAATACCTGATATTCTTATCATTCATTACATATTATATTAAAATATCTTCATATCTTTTGCCCAACTTTTATGTGTCTATAAATAATTATTTTTTCTCTGATTTCAATGATTTCAATAAACATTTTGACGCAAATAAAAGGTATGTGTGTTTTTAAGCACAATATTACACATTATGAGATACATGTACAGTCAAATACTGTTATCGCAAATATTTTTTAGTGTATTAATTGTTGTTTCATTCAAATAGGATTTAAGGTTTAATATAATTACAAAGGATTTGTAAATATATTTCACAATAACTGGTGATTTTGATGTTGTCGTCAACTATTCAGTCGATAACATAATTATCACAAATGAGTTATTTTTTAAGGAAACTTTTTTGAAGTGAACTAAATTGAGTTTTTAATTATAAATTTGATAAATAACTTTGAATTAAATCATTTCTATTAATATAATGTCTATTTAATTTGATATGAAATCCAAGTTCAATGAGTATAAAATCTATAATTCATTAGAAATGTACTAAACATTCAATTCTTGTTTGTTTAATGAAATAAACTTAATTATATTTACGGCATTTATAAGACAAACAATTCTGTATAATATACAGTAGATTGAGTTCAAACATTACAATAATTGTTTGTTTGTATTAAAGAGAAAATAAATTAATGAATACATAGATAACAAAATACAAAATTTGCTGTAAGTCTGTCCAAACTCCGCAAAACCGGCCGAATATCGCGATTACGATAAACGAAACTGGATTTTAGCATTTGGTAACGTTTTGTGACCAAATATTAGACATATTCTCTAATTGGATATTAATATTAAATTCCTTGATATCAATGGACTCATGATATGTTTCATTTGTATTTCGGGCATAAGATATGGATTCTGGGAATAACATCCACTGATATATCAAATATAATTTATATGACAAACACTTAAACGGCTAAACAAATGTCTCATTAAAAGAGGTTCGACGGTATGGTTAGTGATAGTGAGATGTGAGACACACCACTTCACGTGGGGACGAGCCTCCGAGCATGAGATACACTCATGGATTGTATTGTCGTCCAATAGATACCGATATAAAGATACATACTTTATATGTTGTGGAGAGAGGAGGCAATCATAAGCACACATAAGATAATCAAAAGGCAAATATTAAAAAACATTTTATCTATTCATTCATACAATATATACATTTACCAGTCGTTTATTAACGCCAAAAACACA